ACACACACACACACACACGTGTGCGCAACAAAATAAAAAATGAATAAGAGGAATCCTAATAAGGGGAGTCTGACCAAGAGTCCAGGCTCAAAACTCCTGGCATATTTGGCTTCAAACCCAAGAAAGACCAGACTGCAGTGTGGAGAACTAAGGAGCGATTTCTGAGCATATACAAAAATTGGTGTCTAGACCAGTCCTGCACCAGAGTTACACAGCTTTCCATCTCCACGCAGACCCAGAGAAAACAGACCCAGGGTGCCAGGCAGGCTCAGCACAGCGGTGTCTGCCTGGTTTGCCAGCAAGTCACTGGGAAGACCATGGGATGGTTTCTTTTTAATCAAATATTTATTGAATTCAATAACAAGACCTCGCATAGGAAGCAAGAAAGTGAAAGTGAAAATAAGATTATGGCGTTATACTTTTCTCATCTCATGTTTTTTTGAACAGGAGAATCATGGAATTATTTACCTGAAAAGTTACAAAATTAAGAGTTTAATGACTTTATCAAAATCTAAATATCTATTTGGTTTCAAAAGAAAACCTTCCAGTTGCAAAAACAGATAATACTAAAAGTCTTAATAAAAAAATAACCTTTAATCCTATAAGAGATAAATACATTATTTTTAAGAAATGAATTAATGGTCTTATAAATAATAGTCAAAGAAATGTCATGCTAGCCCTCACGGATAAGGAAGAGAGGACATTCCCAATCAGAAGGACAGATGGCCAGAAGAGTCCTCACGTGTCATCATGACTGTGGAGTCAGGAAGCCAGATGGTTCCTGGGAGACCTGTCGAGTCTAAGAGATACTTACAGATATATGCAAGGCACAAGTATGAGCATTATTGTTGTCCAGAAAGTGACAGTATTTCTATTACTTTATTTTTATGCTAATGGGGGGAAGAGAGTCTACCTGGGCTGTGAGCAAGTCATTAACACATAACAAATAAAAACAATGGTACTTAAAATGCTCATAGTGCAACATATGCCAGTCACTGTTCTAAGGCTGTCCAATTATTCACTCACCTCACCTGTACTATTATCCCTATTTTACAAATTGCAAAGTAGACCCTGAGTTTGAATAACTTGGCCAAGACCAGCCTGCACAACAATTTCCAACTTATACCTACAAAAGGGCAGCCCTGGGAGTCTTAACAAAGGCAGCCTGGCCCAGAGACTGTGCTCTTAACTACTGTGACACTCATCAGTCAGATGGAGAGAAGGCCTGTCTGGGGAGGTTACCTTGAAGCTGGGACCTGAAGGGAGGAAGGACAGCAGGCAGGTGACAAGTAGGAGGAACAGCATACCAGGCAGACACCATAGCCCAGACAAAGGCCCCGAGGTGAGAAACAGTGCAGTGGGTTCACAGAAGTTACAGGGGAGCATTGTATGGAGCTGAGGCAGCACGAACAGATGGTGACATGACAGGGGGTGAGGGGAGGTACAAGGGACTGGGTCCTCGAAATGAGGAAAATAAAGTCCAAGTGTAAAAGCAAAGCACTCAGAACTCCAAACCCCAGTTCTTGGTTTTCTTTGCCTCCCAGCTTTCTTTCATAACTCAACAATTCATGGCCATTAGGCAGGTAGTTAAACTACCCACACCCAGCAGGCACCCTTTGTTGCCTGACTACCCACCGCTGGTCTCCACCAAGTTCTGGTACTTTCTGAATGAGAAATCTAATCCCTTTTTTTATTTTAATATTTATCCATTCATTCATTCATTTGCAGAAGTAGGGGTGGAACCCAGGGCCTCCATATGGTCTCAGTTCTTTAGTGAGGTGTATGAGCCCCTTCAGAGTCTGGCCCCTGTTCTCAATGCAGCCTCATCTCTTGGCACTTCCTTCCACACAGCCTTAGGTCAGACCCATCAAAAATCTCTTATGACTTCTCCTGATCAAAAAATAATAATAATTACTTAACAAATCTGCCCTATGAATCACTACTTTCTTTGCTCATGATTTTATGTTCATTACTAATGCCCACTTACTTCCCAAGTAGATGCTAAGTGACCTTATTCTTTCTCAATGCCATTCTTGCTTATGAAGCCCTTTGGAATTCCTAGTAAACACATCAGTGTCCTTGGAATCCAGGTTTAAAAACAGTACCACTTGGGGTCCTTGCATGTCCTCTAATTACTGGCTCTCTGGGACTTCTGTGCATGCTCTGAGCCATTGCCCTGGCAGTCTCACTACCTGGCATATCATCACCCACAGGAGTCTTCCACGTCCTTCTTCCCAAAGGCCAAATCTGCCTCAGGAGCTCTCTGTTCATCAGGTTTATCTTCTTGTCTCTCGAGATATTTCCCTGACTTTATTGCTAACTCCACCTTAGTGCTTCTCTTTGTAATTCTATTATTTATTTCCCTCAGGATTCCACTTGCCTTTTTAATTTTTCTTTCATAACTCAACCTCTTCTAACTTGTTGGTAAAACCAAGTGAGATATTGATTTCAAGCCCAATTTTTGACATTTTATGAGACATTTCAGATACATTAGCAGACTGTGTGTAAATTAAAAATCTTCAAGGGAATTCTTACATCCCTGAATTATAATAAAGAGAAGAAAAGGTAACTCTAGGAAAACAGAAAGGTGCCCCTGTGATTGTTGATTAAGTGGACTTTGTAATACTGGAATGTATTTTGGAATTCCTACTTTAGAGCTGTTATAACTTTAGTTCAAGGTGAAAATGGACGTCCACTTAAGTTTTCTTCAAACGTACCGAGTATACCACCACATCTGATTCCCTTCACCAATGGTGAAGCTTTTAGCACTCTTGGATCACCTAACTTCATGACAATTTAGAAACCTCATCAAATAAACTTTTCATTCATGTTGATGATGTGAGTCACTTATATTTATAAACACAGCTTTGGATAAACATCGATTGTTACAGTGGAAAATGTCCTGTGATTGGCTTTTCTTCACTGCCTTTGCTTTATTTCCTAATAATGTTGTAAGGATCCCTTGGATTTTAATAGGTATTTCCTTTTCATCAAATAAAAAAAGCAAAATTAATCATTACATTAGAATGTAGGTAAATTTAAGAGCATTAAATGAGCATCTCTCATTTAGTAGTACCAGTACTGAGCAGTGAAGATACAAAAATAAATAAATAAATAATAAGATGTAAGTTTTCTCCCTAAAAAGGAGAAGCTAGAAAGTCAGAAAATGAAAGTCATGGAAATATAGATAAGGAAGAGTTCCGGAGGATGAAAGGGAAATCGAAGTGGTAAACACCATACCCTACTTTATAAAGTTAAATTTTCAAATTTAGTGATGTTCTCTCTGGAATACAGTTGTAGTTCTGGGATGGCTTATCACTAGATTAGCATAGTAGCATGTCATTACATTAAAAATTAAAATGAAGAGAGTTGATAATTTTAAGTCATTCTTTTGTCCCTAATCCATTTTTTAACTTCTCCTTAAACAGAATTGGGTCTAATTTGGCAACAGGATATTTAGCAAAGATACAAACTGGTTTTCTCCAAAAATGTTCTATATTTTATTTCCACTTCTAAATATTATATCAATGGGTCTATAAAATACAGATTCTTTTGGTTTCTTTTATTTTTCTTTTAGCATATTTCCTGTGAAGCAAATAAGCTTTTAACTAACTCCCTGGATGATCCTACAAAACCTCAGCCATATTAATCACTACCCATCTTGGTTCCACCTGCAATGTGCTGACAAACTGGGTGACACTTTGTCCAAAAGAAAAGAAAATAAGAAAAATAAGAAAGTGAAGAATGAGGACCCCCCCCACACACACACACACACACCCCAAAAAATCAGTTAATAACCAGATTGTTAAATTATTTTTAATGACTAAACTTTTAGGACTGGAACAAAAGTCCTGTTTTTAAGAGGCTCATAATCCTGCATTACATACATGAACATCAGGAAACCACATGACAGTGTAACTTCTTCATCAAACCACAGCGAAACTGATGCTATAAAGTCTCAAGGAAGGTCAAGAGTAAACGTTTTGGTGAGTTTGTTGGATGCAAAAATTGTGCAGTTTTGTTTTCCTTAGTAACACAGATGCAATAGACAGCAGAAATATTACAAGTATATAAGGTCCTGTGTAAGATGCATTGGCAACTCTAATCTTTTTCCCTATTACCTACTAGCAGGATTCTTCAGGATATTTCTTAGTATAAAATCCACTTAACTCACTGGGCATGATAAGGCATTCTATAATCTCAGCAGCTCAAGAGGCTAAGGCAAGAGAATTGCAAGTTCAAAGTCAGCCTCAGCAACTTAGCAAGGCCCTAAGCAACTCTGCAAGACCCTGTCTCGAAATAAAAAGTAGAAAAGGGCTGGGGATGTAGCTCAATGGTTAAGCACCCCTGGGTTTATTCCTGATGCCAAAAAAAGAAATAAATAAAACCCCCAAAATCCACTGAACTCCTTGGGAAAAATACATCAAATAAAAGTTTTAGGTTCCTAGCACGTGTGAAGGCCAGAGTGTGATCCTCAGCAGAAAAAAATACAATACAAGCTTTAGGTAATGCTTTATAATGGATCATATTATCGTCCTCTTCCAGGAATTTCTCTGGTCTCCTGCTATTCCAACTTTCTCTCTCCATCATCCCAAATCATTACTAGGTCATCAGAAAACTTGAAGTGGAGATATAATAGCTAAAAAGGGGAAAGAGAATTACAATCTTCTGAAAAAATATATGTATATATTCATATAATGAATATATATATATATATATATATATATATATATATATATATATTCATAAATATTTTGAAGTCTTGGAACTGTTCCCAAATGCTACCTGATTAAAAGGACCCATGATTTCTGTATGGGTCTCAATGTTATCCACAAATCAGGGTCTGATCCCCAACCCAACTCTTCCAAAAGATATTGTTATACCTGAGAGAGTTTCCCAAACCTATTATAGACTATCAGGACAGACAAACTTTCTCTGGGTTTTAGCAGCAGTTTAATTATTCACCTTTAAAAAAAAATTATACAAGCTTTTCAACTTACCCCAATAGCTGCTAAGATTGGAGCTTGATAAATCCACCTGTCTCCTGCACTAAGTTCCCAGCACCTGAAATATTAAAAGGGATTTTCATGAATGAATTTGGCAAAGCAAAAGGTAATGAAAATTAAGTAACATTTCAGTTTTACCAAAATCTCTAGCCCTAAGCTTCTGATTAAGGAGACAAAGAGATGAAAAAAATCTTGAAACATCCAAACTAGTGAAAGAACGTGTCCCGACAGTCCTGATTTCATGCTTTAAATGGCCCTTATATAAGCAGGGTATTCTAAATATTAACATATTGCTTTCATAGTGACCAGAGTCAAAACCTTGTTTGTAGAGCCACATCAAGTACAGTCTTCTAAATGTGGTACAATTTATACTTTGCTTTTACTACCATTGAAATGAGATATAATATTACATTTTGTTGAGAAATTTTTCATTCTATCAGAAGTTATTTATTTTGTGAGTTCATAAATTGTAGGACACTGACAAGAAAACAAATCATTCTTATCCAGGAAAATGTAATAAAAAGCTGAATGCTGACTATTCTTGCCATAGAAATAAAAATTAGCTTATTCAGTGAAATGGAATTGATGAGTGCCGCAGTCCGGCTGCAGCAAAATAACCGGGGGGTGACGAACAACTTGTGTACATTGATACAGCAGGAGTGGAAGCCGAGCCGTTTATTGTAGGACAGGAGCAGTATTTATACATTCCACACAGCTTATCTAATTAACATAAACTAGATACAGCAGCCAACCAATAAGGAATCTCCACACTCAATGACTCGCTGGCGTTACTTCACAAACCACTCCCTTTGGCAAAATGCCAGGCGCCATCCAGACTTGTTTACAGACTCTAACAGATGAGTTTTTGTATTTATTTGTAAATTTTCGGCATTTGTTTTCCTGAATATGAACATGTTGTTCTTTGATTTCTCTTTTGAACCAATTACGACATGTTATGAGCTCCTTCATTTAATGAGGATTTTAAAAAGCTTTGACAATGTTTACTTTATTTTGTATATCATCCATAATTTTTATATTGAATTTTTTAAAAATTATTTTAGCAGTACCTAATAAAAATACCACATAATTTATCTATTTCTTATACTTACTTTATGATTCCTAACTAAAATTTAAGTTCTATATGGGTAGGCATCATTACTGCTTTTGTGTAGTGAGGTATTACAAGTGCCTAGAAAAGTACATAATAGGTAGATAATCAACAAATATTCATCAGCTTGCATTGACATAAATGAAATCTGAGGTAAGTTTGTCTCAATCTCACCTCATCTAAATTGAACTGAAGAAAGGTCTTACACACTGGAATAAACAGCACAGAGTGGTTTTAATTTAAAAAAAAAATCTAGCTCCACTTAAAACTCTAATGTATCAATTTAAACAGTTTTTTTAAAATTAAAAACACATAAATAACACCTTTTTATTTATTTTTTCTTGGAGAAAACACAGCAGTGACTGTACGAACAGTAAATAATATCAAGAAATTCTGGGGATATAATGATAATTTTTTAATTAATAAATAAGTTACATTTTATTTGTGAACAAGTTATGAATAATAAAACTTTTTCAACTATGTCTTAAAGGAATATTCTTCCATACACACCTAACAATTTCTTAAAGTTTAATTTAATATGTTCTCATTTCAAAATTCAAAATATGCAAAAAGGCAGACATTGAGATGTCTCGGTCTCTCGTGTGGCTGTCTTCCTTTGTCCTTTCCTCTTATAGATAACATCTTTTACTGCCTTATTGAATGTGCTTCTAGTGTTTCTGACAAGAAGGCAAATCATTCTTATCCAGGAAAATGCAACAAAAAGCTAAATGCTGACTATTCTTGCCATAGCCATAGAAATAAAAATTAGCTTGTTTAATGAAATGGAATTGATGAGTTTTTGTATTTATGAATATATTAATATAAAACAAATACAGAAACTATATGAATATAAAACAAATACAGAGGTTACATTCTTATTTTCCTCTATTGCTGTAGTTTGGATCTTGACTATCTCCCAAAGGCCCTTGTCTTAAAAGGTTGTCCCAAGAGGCAGGGCCAAATGGAAGGAAGTTAGGTTATTAGGGGCATGTCCTTTATGAGCTATTAGGACCCCAATCCCTCCTCTCTCTCTCTCTCTCTCTCTCTCTCTCTCTCTCTCTCTCTCTCTCTCTTCTCTCTCTCTCTCTCTCTTTATTCCCAGGCTCCAAGATGAGCAGCCTCCTCTCCACATGCTCTCACCATGGTGTACTGTGCCACCACAGGCCCAAACCAAAAGGGCTGAGCAACCACAACTGAAACCTCTGAAAGCACAAGTCAAAATAAACTCCTCCTCTTTTAAAGTTGATTATTTCAGGTATTTTGCTATAGTAACCCCAAGCTAGCACACCTATATATAAATTTCTATATCAGTGCCAGGAGAGAGCAGTCATACAGCACACTTGTCAGATAAGTCATATATATATATATATATATATATATATATATATATATATATATATGTATATATATTCCATTGCAAGAATGCATCATAGAAATCAATCAGACCCCACCCCAAAGTGTAATTCTGGTCCACTCTAGTGGAAATCTGCAAAGTTGATGAAGTTAAAGTTTGAATGACATGGAAACCTGAGGCACAGAAATTTCACGTTATTGAACATTTCCTTCCATTTGTACAGACATCTACTTTTCACATTACTCAACCAGATCAAAAAGACAAAAGATATTGTTAGACTTGTGCAAAATATGTATCATACTACCCTAAAAAGCTTTTTTTCTATAAGGAAAGTGGCAAATGTACTGTCTGAATAATAAACTAAACACTGATTTACTAGCTATAAGGCTTTTGGATGCCATATATTTCTTGACATTTGATAATAACTTCACTTTCTTCACTTGGATGACACTTCAGAACGTCTCCGAACACAATGAGATTCAATTATACAATTCTAGTTCTTAAAAAATACTTGTATTTAGAAAGTCAAAATCAGCTACCTTGAAAACCTTGATTTTGATGGTTTTCAGTGTCAACGTTTCAAACTTACCCTTTGATATAACATAGGCAACTGAGATTTTATACCTTTTAAAGAAACTGCTACAAATACTTGTTTTTAATTGGTTTTTCAATGCCCTACCTCACACTATGTTCGTTCACATAAATCTCTGTTCAGAGTTTTTAAAATACACGTTAGCTGGAAAGTGCCATTCTGAAGGATGGGGTACGAAGCACAAATGTATGACTAGAAAAAAGAATTTTCTACATCAGGGTTGGAAATAGATGCACTGATTCTGCCAGAGGAACCCAGTGAATTGACTTAATTGAATACTGCATTCTCTCCACAACTGACAATCAGTAAGAGTAGAGAAGGCAAGAGGAGTCCAGCACCCCAAACTTGATATCCATTGTAGAAGAATGAAACTAACTCCCTATCTCTTACCTTGAATGAAAACCAACTTACAGTGTATCAAACACCTAGGAAGCAGAACAGACACAGTGAAACTGCTAGAAGAAAACACAGGTGCAACACTCCAATATATTGGCACACATACTGACTTCCTTAATTAATAAGACTTCAAAAGCTCAAGAAATAAATCCAAGAATCAACAAGTGGAATGGCATCAAATTGAAAAGCTTCGGTACAGCAAAGAAAACAAGAGCATGAAGAGAGAACCTACAGAATGGAAGAAATTCTTTGCCACTAGAGGATTAATATCCGGAATGTATGAAGAATTCAAAAAACTTAACATCAAAACACACACACACACACACACACACACAGGCCGGGTGGGTGCAATGGCACACACCTGTAATCCCAGCAGCTCTGGAGGCTGAGGGAGGAAGATTGTGAATTCAAAGCCAGCCTTAGCAACTTAGCAAAGTGCTAAGCAACTCAGTGAGATCCTGTCTCTAACTAAAAAATACTAAAAAATGTGGAGCTGGGGATGTGGCTCACAGGTTAAGTGCCCCTGGGTTAAATCCCTGGTTAAAAAAAAAAAAGAAAAGAAAAGAAAGGAAGGAAGGAAGGAAAGAGGAAAAAGGAAGGAAGGAAGGAAGGGAGGGAGGGAGGGAGGGAGGAACAGCCTTACAACCCACTCACTCAATAAATGACAAAAGGTCTAAATTGGCATTTCTCAAAAGAAGAAATACAAATTGCCAACAAATATATGTTAAAAAAATGTTCAACATCCTAAGTGATCAGGAAGATGCAAATCAAAACTACACTCAGATTTCATCTCACCCCAGTTGGAATGACAATCACCCTAAGAATACAAATGATTCCTGACAAGGATGTGGGAAAAGTACACTTAACATTGTTGGTGGGACTACAAATTAATACAACCACTTTGGAAAGTAGTATGGAGATTCCTCAAAAGACTAGAAGTGGGACCATCTTACAATCCAGCTATCCTACTCCTTGAAATCTATCCAAAAGAACTAAAATCAGCATACTATAATGATACATGCATACCAATGTGTATAGCAGCACAATTCACAATAGGCAAGTTAAGGAACCAGTCTAGGTGTCCATCAACAGACAATGGATAAAGAAAATATAGTATAGAAACACAATGAAATTTTACTCAGTCATGAATAAGAATGAAATAATGTTATCTGCTGGTAAATGGATGTAACTGTAGAACATCAAGGACACTAAGTGAAATAAACCAGACTCAGACCGTCAAGGGTCAAATGTTTTCTCTCATGTAAAGCTAGAGAGAAAGAAATGAAAAATGGAATCTTGAAAATAGAAAAGATAGCATTAGAATAAAGGTAGGGATCAAGGGAGAGGAAAGAAGGGAAGAACAAGAGAAGTACTAGCGACAGAATTGGAGAAAACTATATTATATGCATTTATAAATGTCAAAATGAATCCCACTATTATGAATAACTATAATGCACTAATAAAAACATTTAAAATAAATAAAAGTTTTATAAAGAGAGGCCCAACCTCAGAGCCTATGCAGATGTTAGAGTATCTTCTCATCAGAAGCCCCACCATGAAGCCAGAATTAAAAGAGGCAGTCAGTATAAATAGGGAAATCAGTTTAAATGGATCAAGGAGGCCAATTTGGGTCCAGGAAATTGGAGGCCATCCCTGAGGGATTGACATATTAATGCCTTCAGGGCCCTTCCTCTACCCTACGATAACCTGCCTCTGCTCCAATCCTTTGCTAAGGTAACAGGTCTCAGGAATTGTCCCTCCCCAGAGAGAGTTGTAAAAGTTGTTAGTTAATGTGTCCTGGGCTATTCCATCTGGCCCTTCCCCCTGTCCATCTGCTTCTCACCTTTTGGCCATCCCACCCCTGAGCATCTCCTGGGCCTCTATGCAGGAAGGAGAAAGATAAGGGGAAGAGAGCAGGTACCAAAGGAAGCCTAGGACATATAGAAAAGGCAGAACACCCTCACTTCTTGGAATACCAGGATAACAGCTATAACCCCCTTCTCCCTCCTGGGAGAAGTCTATGTTACCCCTTTTTAAATAAATCCTACTTTATACGTTTGCCTTGGCGTGCTACTCTAATGTTATACTTCAACATGTGAGGGAGCAGAACTCGTCACCAGTAACCTCTCCTCCTGAATGGTAAAACAAAAATACAGCAAAGAAGCTCCAGGTGTCCCCATTCATTAGTGTTATTGTCTCCTTTGAAGGAGGCAAGGAGAAGGCAATAAGGCATCTGTATGGTGTTGTTGCTTTCATAAGAAAAAAGAAAGAAAGAGTGTCAAATTATTCACTCTAAGTTTATTGTCCTGCCTAAGCTATTGAATTATCTCACCCTCCCTCAGCTAAGTCTCACTCTCAATAGCATTTTAGAATGGGAAGAAACTTCTACATATATTCAATAGCATTTCTAGTATCTTTTAGAACTGGGTTCAATCTGCTTATCTCTGAATGGCCACAATGTGGACAAAACCAGAGTTCTAGCTTTGAAAAGCTAAGCCAGAAGAAGTTGAGTCTCAAATGCACAAGTCACGAAGATGAACGCATCCATTCTTTGGAGAGATGTGAAGTCTGTTCTCTTCAGCTGAGCTTTATGACATGCTCTTTATGTAAGTCAAATTTCACCCAAAGAAAACTAAAAAGCTTTCTTTTCTTTTTGAAATCATGAAATAAATAGTAATATAGTTTATGTGCAAAATAAAATATAAAATGATCCCTTCAACTCATTTATCTCAAATGAGAGTACTGTAGAATTCAAGATTTATTCTGAGTAAGGAAGAAGAAAAGTGAAATATTCTGCACAGCAGAGTCACATGATCTAACTTATATTTAACATTCACTTTAATTCACTTGTTTTAAAGAAATATTTAGCATCAGTTATATTTTGCAACATTTATGTGCTTAATGAATTGTGATCTCAAAAAAAATAAATTTATATTGCATCTTTTTCAGTAAAGACTTGTGATTTTAATGTTTCAAAATTAATCTGTAACCTTTAAGGAAGAAAATGAGAAAAAAAGAAAGCTAATTATCTAATTCAATATAAAATGAATTGTGAGTATACATGCTTTCCTGTGGTAAAGGCCTAGAATACATGTTAAATGAACGAATAAGTCAAAATTCTGCTTCACAACTGGTGGTGTGCTCTGAGAAGGTGTCATGATGTCTCTGGGTCTCATTTTATTTATGTCTAAAATTAGTGTTGTACCAGAAAATACTGTGGATCCTACCATCTCTAAGACACAATTACACAGTTACACATCTCAGAATATGATTACTGTAGCCTCAATAGTACCTACTTACTGACTCAACCCTCCCTCCCTTAAAAATCAAATAACAGATGCTGCGAGTTGTCTTTGAGATTTCTCACATCCCTGTGTAAACATAGCAATAATAGTAACAACATAGAAAATATTAATCCAATTTGCCCATGGTAGACAAATCCAAATAGTATAACGAGGCCAGGTATGCCTGTAATCCCAGCAGCTCGGAAGGCTGGAGACAGGAAGATCATGAGTTCAAAGCCAGCCTCAACAACTTAGTGAGGGCCTAAGCAATTCAGTGAGACCCTGTCTCTAAATAAAATACAAAACAAGGCTGAGGATGTGGCTCAGTGTTTAAGCACCCCTGAGTTCAATCCCAAGTACCAAAAAGAAAAATGAAGCCAATAAGTCCCGGAATTGAGAGAAGCTACACCTAAGACAGTGGCCAGGAGTGTTCAGATCTTCAGGAGCAAATCATGGCACGTTCTTTAAAATGCTCAGGTGCTCCCATAATGTGGCTTTTTTTTTCCAGTGCATAGCAGATAAACTAATTTCTGAAGGAAATAGCTGGCAATCCAAAACAAACACATTGGTTCAAATTAAAGAAAAGCTCCCAAAGAGCTGAAGCTGGAACTGCTATCATGAAATATATACAACACGTACAATCCATGGATGTTAAACTGTATTCTGTTACCAAGGCTTCCACTATTAGAAGAGAACAGATGAGATGGATGAAACTTATAATTTTCATTAAATATAGATAAGTGATTAGTACACAGAGCATTTATGTGTCACCGTCAGGTACTAAGGACGTATGAGACAACAGGGCACTCAACATTCATGATATTAAACAGACAAGAGACACCAACCATTCCTGGTAGACAGGAAGTACTCAATATTCTTGAGGTCTTAATTTAGCCACTGATGGGTGAAAAACATTCTCATATGTCCTTTGCCCCAAAAATAAAAATAAATCCCAGAGCTGCTCAGAGGTCAATTGGGAAGGGATAGCTATGGCCAGTGTCCTTGGCCCGTGTCTCTGACACCGTAAGTATGTGTCACTGGCCCAGAGCACTTTCTCTCTGGGTGCCCTCGCCTTATTTCTGGTCCTCATAACAACCTCATCTGTGAGGAAGGCCGAGGAAGCATGAACCTTGCCTCTCCCACAACTCAGGTAGTGGGATCCCTCCACCTGCTCACCCCATATGCTAAGTGTGTCCCCCTTAACCTTCTTTCCCTTTGCTTCTCACAGTATGTTTTAACTGACTTCATAAACCATGGAGTTTTAGCATCTAATCTGATCTGTGACCTGCGGGATGGACAGTTTGTGAGTACTGTATTGGGGACTACCATCGGGTCAAGGCAACTTCCCACAGGACATCCCTAAAGGACAATGACATGAAGAAGAGCAGCCAGTGTGGATTCTAAGCAGAACATCTGAGTCTGGAGGAAACCTGAGGTCGTTGTCGTCGTCGTCGTCGTCCTCCTCCTCCTCCTCCTCTTCTTCTTCTTCTTTTTTTGGTTGTTGTTCTTTTTAGTTATACATGACAGTAGAATGTATTTTGACATATTATACATACAAGGAGTCTAACTTCCCATTCTTGTGGAACTTTTTTTTTTTTTTACTCACCTGGCATCAGCCAGAGTTGCTCGCACCACAGCCCAGGCCACAACAAATGCCACTGGAAACCCTGTAACCAGAAAAGGATTCAGAGACCACATTTCTCTTAAGATTAAGAATATATTTTTTCACATTCATCACACACAGGAATATACCATTAGCAGTTGAAAAAGAAAAAAAAGACACAAAAAAATGTTGACATGTGAATAAGAAAAGTCCACCTAATTTTCATCTTGTCAATTTGAGAAATGAGTGAGAACAATGACGTTATTTATTCCTGGGAGTCTGAAGATGATGGTTGGTCATGTTTTCATTTGAGGGACTTAGGGCCAAGACACATTTGGAGGGGACTGAAGTTCTTGGGGTCAGAAGGAGGCAGGGTTGAACATTTTGATTTCAGGCACACTGGGAGCCATCTGCTTTTAAGAAGAGATGCAACCAAAGAGACTCATGAGAAGCTGAGATAAATTGCTGTTTTAAAAGCAGTGGAGGGGCTGGGGTCGTGGCTCAGTGGTAGAGAGCTCACCTAGCATGTGTGAGGCACTGGGTTTGATCTTCAGCACCACATAAAAATAAATAATTAAAAATACTAGCAGATGGAGTAAAAACAACAACAACAACAACAAAAGCAGTGGAATTGGAGAATATGATGCTAAGTGAAATAAGCCAAACTCAGAACCTCAAAGGTCAAATGTTTTATCTTAAATGCAGAAGCTAGAGTAAAATAAAGGAAAGGGGGAGGGAATGATAGGATAACACAAAGAACCAACCCAATGCTAATTAATAGATAAGTGAAAGGAAGTCTAATAGAGTGGAGAGAGGAGAGGGAAGAGAGGAGGGGGAACAGGAAGTAAAATGGGGAGAGAGAAGAGGATACTCATAACCTGAAATCAATTTCCGTGTGTATGTTTGTCAGGATGAACCCAACTGCTATGTATAACTATAAAGCTCTAATTCTTTTTTTAAGTATTAGAACATTCTTTTTATTCTTGAAGTGCAGTGCATGAACACAGCAAGTTATAAAATCAGGAAATTACAACCACTGTGGCCTTTTCCTTTCTTTGACTCCCAAATTGTCTCAAGACAAAGCATTTGCATGCGTTAATGGCTCAACAAAGGTGACCCTTATGATATTTTGATGCTCTGAGCATGTGACATTTGTCTTCATAAGTGATAACCATCTATGAGCTTGCAATATCAAATCCATTATAATGACTTTGCGTGAGTCCTTTGCTCCCCAGTAAAGGATGACCCTTCAGTTCATGCTGTAGCTAATTAAATTCCAACATCACAAAAAAAAAAAAAAAAAACTGAAACCAAAACTTTTACAAATATGTCAGTAGGAAAATAAGAATTTTAATGTGGGAGTATTAATTTTATGGCCTTTGAAAGAGGTTTAGGTAAAGTAAATAAAGAGAACATAATTAAAAGACTGCAGATGCTAGGAAGTACCATACAAGGCAAGAAAAAAAATTTTTAATCTAGCTATGAACTTTTTAAATCAAGCATACTACTAAATTCTTTATCTTGTAAGAACATATTTGTAATTTTTTAAGATTTCTTTCTAAGCAACTGAGTGAAAACAGAAATAGCCTCAGACAAGAAATATTTCACAAATTGAAAATAAGCTCATACCCATTATAGAGAATTTCTTTGGTCTCCTTAGTGACCAACTAACCAATTAAATTTAACCTCAGCCTGTCTATATGACTATTGAATTTTATGATTCTACACTTTAATTTTACTTGTTTGCATATAATTATTTTTTAATCTGCTCAAATGCTGTGCTTTAAGATATTTTTGTTATTTCTTTGGTTTAGCTTGCATATTCTTTCTTCCTATCTAACCATCTATCTATCCATCCATCCAACTATTCATCCATGAAGCACTAAGTGCCTATTTATATGTTAAAGATTATTCTAGTCTCTGAAGAAGAAACATTGATCAAATAGATCATCCATGTTTTCTTCAAAGGTGTATATTGATGAGAGAGAAAAATTAATAAAAACAAACTTGGTTCTCAATTAATGCTTATTTTAGAAAAACAAGAATGATTCCATGCAATGGAAAAGGCATGGATCCTTCTGATGGGATGGTTAGAAACCCTGACGTAGACTGCTTCGGTGTTTTGCTGTTTGCTACCTTTAAAGTGTCTATCTTTGGTCCAAATGTTTGCATCTTCTCATTCTCAGATATGCATCAACATTCTCCTGGTCAAGCAATTTCCTGAATGATGCCCTACACAATATTGGTTAATGACGTTTGGGTGACCATTGTGTTTTAGATGATTAGATGATAATTATAACAAATATATCAGGCCCAATGTCTTAATGAAGTTTCTTTTCTCATACTCTCAGCACACCCGTATTTATAAGACTAGTATAGAGATAATCACAGAGGAATAAAGAACAGAAAACTGCTTTGGTATTCTTTGAGGATTTTTGATCACCAATTTAAATATCACATTATTACATATTTTAGAACACATAAATATAGGAAAATATATTCAAAATTTAAGTGTTATTTTAAATTTAACTTTATTTAAATAAATTTAATGTTAATTTAAATAAACACTTATTTATATGTTAAATTTAAATATCAATATATGCATTTACTGAAAATTGATTAGATTTCATAATATCTGTAAAAATAACTTCTGAAATAACGGTACTTATTAATTAAAGTTTTGAATATAATACATATAATCAGAATAGTCAAATGGACAAACAATATAACCTAAAGTGTCAGACATGTTTCTTGTATGGGATATGAATTGGCTCCAAAGGTGCTGAAACTTTTTGATTCACAACATGGCAGTATTAAGAGATGATAGAAGCTTTAAGAGGCAGAGACTAATAAATGGTGATTTTGTCACTGGGGGAACCACCTTAAAAGAGATTAACACTCATCTCATGGGAATAGGTTGGGTCCACGGGAATAAATCAGTTACCAAAAGAATGAGTTGTTATCAAATGAGTCTGACATTATTGGCTCAGTCTCTTGCTCCATCTTTACCATATAAACTCTCTCAAATGTACTCACTGCCATATGATGCTATCTACCACAAGGCCCTTACCAGAAGCCCATGCTCTTGGGCCTCTAGAACTATGAGCTAACTAAGCTTCTTTTTTTAACAAATTATTCAGCTTCTGGTATTTTGTGATAGTAACACAAGATGGACTTAATCACATTTCTGTATTTAAATTATATTTACTAACAAATGATGATGAAAAAAAATGTTTGCTAGGTTAAGAACATTTACACATAGATAATAAAACTGGAAGTGCCTTCTTGACTATTTTCAGAGAACATAGAATGTGAAAACATTGGACATGAAAGCTTGGCAACAGGGACATGACTATGATTTAGGAACAGAGAGAGTGTTGAAGTAAATTACTATTCTTTTTATTATGTAAGCCCTAGACTAAATTATTTTTAAAAGAATGAAGTTGTAAAAAGAAAGTCAGAATGGAATTACCAGAAGAGATACTTTTATATGATAATATTCACATACTGGCGTCTCATCTGACAGTTGAAAATTAAGGATGGCTCCTGATATAAAAGTTAATCACCATATTTAGTAAAGATGAAAAATAAGACCTAAAACTTTAAGATACTGAATTAAAATAAAGAAAAAATATGTAGATAAAAGAAGATATGGAACCAAGAGTAAAGTGTCTTATTTGTGAGAGAACTGAGAAAGGGAGAGAGAAAAGTAAGTATATGTTTGGTTGGGAGAAAAAAATCAATATTTGCCTTTATTCCTCTGTACATTTTCTTTGTGATAAAAAAAAATGTGTAAAAAAGTCACTTTAAATATCTGTCTTCATTTTAGTAAAGGTCAGCTATGGGTCCTCTTCTTCAGATTGTAATTTTCCTTTTCTTCCAGTTTATTACTAAGAATCATCAAAATCAATATAAATAATGTAACCACATCTCACTACAATGTGAATAATAGGTTTCTAAGTATTTAAGTATGAAGAGAATGTGAAGCTATAATAATTGGGTCCAAATGAGCAATAAAAGAAGCAAAGCAAGTTCTCTTTTTTAGTGAAACCAATAAAAAGAAAATATCTTTGGGAGAAAAAGTGTGAAATTTGGTTCACTCTGAATTATTCCAGCAAAGAATCCTGCAAAGCAGCTATAGTTTTGATCATGTGGAAAACAAATGTGGAAAAATGAGTCAGATGTAAAGTCAAAAAAAAAATTGGGGTGGGAGGGGATAGCAGGGATTGAACTCACAGGCACTCAACAACTGAGCCACATCCCCAGCCCAATTTTGTATTTTATTTAGAGACAGGGTCTTACCAAGTTGCTTAGCACCTAGCTTTTGCTGAGACTGGCTTTGAACTCATGATCCTCCTGCCTCAGCCACCCAACCCGCTGGGATTAAGGTGTACATCACCAAACCCGGCAAAGAAAATATTCTTAAATCAGGCACTCATATTAAGGTAGGAGAAAAATAATCTATTAATCAAAAAGATTTGGATATGTCCTTCATTAAATGGAAGCTATGATTTGGAAGGAGAGAAATAGTTTAAGTGCTATTAGTATTCTTTTGATTGTATATGACCTAGACTGTTAATTTTTAAAAGGATGAAGTTGCAAAGAGAGAAACTGAATATAGATAAACTAGCCATGGAACTATAATTCTATGAAGAGTGGGTATCATAGTCTTTTGAGACTATGACTAATTAAATGAGCATAATAGAACATGGAAAATGCTCTCACAGTGAGCTGTCATGAAAATCTTACTTGCTTTTGTGTGCATTCTTAAGCTAGTCCATGAAATGAAGATTTCAGATAACAATGCTTATCTATTTTAGTTGTCATTTCTATGCCAAAATTTTTGTGGACAAATTGATAAAAGTTGTAAAGGAGGGTTAGAAGACCATACTTACGTAGAAATTCACCAGCACCATGGCGATTTTTTGTTCTTTTTTTTATAGACGGATTGGAAAACTAGTTTCCTAAGTTTCATTATGACAAAATCCTCATTTTAATTAAGAAGGGAGAGACTGAGGGATATTACACAAATAGAGTTGGTAAAAGGTCTGCACCAGTTAGTTGTCAGGTCAGTAATAGAGGAAAAAAAAAATTCATTACACACGTGACCACTGATGTAGACATTCAAGAAACAAAATATAACTCAGATAAACTTCCACATTCATTACTGAATTTTCTACCAAAGCCTTTATCAACGTCTAGTAATTATGTGGGTACACAGATAATTTTGATTCAAAGACAAACTATCAAAAACTGTCAAGAAATTATTTCCTAAGTGTTCTAAAAAAGGAGACTCTTTTTTTTTTCTTTTTTAGTAACTTCTATCTAAAAGAGCCTTAATCAGATGAGCTGGCTGGCTTCAGAAATAAAAAATTCTTATTTTATTATTTTGTAATAAATGAAGTGTTGCTGTGAATTGATCTTTGTCTTTTCAAAGCTTAGCAGGAAATTTCATATATGTCACATTTTCAAGTAATATTAAGGCAAAGGAATGTTCCTATTTTGAAGGGAGGGGAAAGAAACACCTTCAAATTAATCTTGAGCCACTTAGTGACTTTTTATCCTTATGCTGAGCACCTCATAATTTGAACATTAAAATAGCAATTGAGATCTGCAGTTGTTAACCTCCAGACCCTTCTCTATTTTAACCACATATGAACTCTCATTTCCCTCAAATTTTAACAAACAACATCTTTTTCTCTGTGTCATGCTGAATTAGTGCCTAACCCACTAATTGCTCCAGTACTAAGTCATTTTGGGGATGGTAGCTGAATATCATTTTTTTAAAAAAATTACTCTGCCAAAAGTAATTTGAATAATCTCCTAAAAGACATGGTAAGTCCTCATAATTAGTTTGTAATTTGTGTATGTTAAATGCAGTCCTGATGGTCCTATGGTCCTTTCTGGCATTCTTATTATATGACTTGGGAATACAAATCAAAAAACATATTATTATCACTTAGAAATTCACAAATAAAAAATTGGGGGAGAAATTATTGATAACACAGAACACCGACACAGGGCATGAGTCAAGCAGTTCTAAGTGCACATGGCTAACAATGCATTCTCTTAAATGTCCTCCAAAGAACTTTCATGAGATTCTTGGCCTAAGAATACTGAACATAAATTAAGCTTGAAAAGTTGGTTACTGCTGGGAGGATTATAGAATTGATCTTAATGAAAAAGCAGAGGGGATAATGACAAGATGAGGAGGGAATATTTCAGGAAAAGGGTTAATAAATCCATAACCTATTTAAAGGAAAGGAGATATAAATGCTTACCCCAGCCAATCAAAATGAAGCCCCACAGGTATTTGGTGTCCGAAAAGAAAGACACAAAGATCAAATTATGCAGGTAGAGACCTTCCACGAGGATCCAATAGTAGTTTGTTGCCAAGAAGTAAATAAACATCACAACAGCAATCTTGCACCCGATCTGTTATAAATAAGAATGGCATCATCTTAGAACTCTCAATTGTACGTGAGACTACTAAAAAATACTTCTTCAGTTGCTTTCTCATAGTCTGCTATTTTTCTGTGCATAGAAAAATCAAGAACATTGAAACAAACCAGAACAAAGTTATTTCAACACAGCATTTTTAAGACTATGAGGCTAGATTCTATTATTAAAATTAAAATTTTATTAAAAGTTAGAAAAAAATCACTTTTTCATTATTTTTTCTCTTAAGAAAAATAATATATGATCATCATAAAAAATGAGAAGTATAGAAATGTATATAGAAGAAAATATGATCCATCTCTCTACTAGGAATTTTATTCTGGTCTTTCTGATGCCTATGGCAGCAAAACAAACTGCCCCCAAAGTGGATGACCTAAAACAATAACCATTTAATATGTCTAAAGTCTGTGGTTTGGTGAGTGGGTCTGCTGATCTGGGATGACCTCTGCCCATCTCATTCAGGCTCGCTCATGGAAGTCTACCTCCATCTGCCTCACTATCACTGCCATTTCCTGCTAGGGGGTAAAGCAAGTCACAAGGCCAGTCAAGAACCAGATTAGAAGGGACTACCAACTACTGCCTTACTGAGTAAAGGCAGAGATGCAGACGGGGCTTTAATCTGTATCATCAAGATGACCCATCTACTATAAATCATTTCCAGATACATTGATTCAGTGATTAAATTTGCTGGATTATTGAGTGACTACTTACTAATTTAAGAGGAGACTTAAGTACCATGGAATTTTATATGGGAATGAGACTCCAAGTATATAATAAAGGAACTAAATGTCATAGGCTTTTACATCCCAAGGTTCTGGTTTTGCTGATGAGTCTTTACTTTTAAAAGCAGTACCCATGGCCGTTGCTATGCTCCATACATCATATACCATTTGAATCACATGCTTTTGCAGTTTCCATTCCAGGATGTCTTGGAGAAAACCACTTTTGATAATTCAAAATAAGTGATTAGATTTGAGAGGACAGAATTGAGGAAACAGATATTAGAAGCCTAATTTAATTACTTTAGAGATCATATAAAATAAGCCCAAACAAGTTAACATTTAGTGGGCTGTGAAATTTGACGCACTTACATATTGTGATTTGTCCACAGAAGGTGCTCCAATGGAATTGTGTAGGTCATCCTGCATTATCAGGGACTGCAGCTCTTCTACTCCCAAGTGAGCCTGGGCCACTCTGTCCTTGACAAAAATGCTTATAGCTCTCAGCATAAAAGACACAAATAAGTGCAGGTGGATATAGTTCCTAGTGCAATGCAATCGTCTGTGCAGAGAAATAGCCAGTATTTAGAATTGGACAAAATGAGAACTAGGGAAATAAAATGCCCAAAGGATCCCAACCTCTTCCCCCCCCCAAAAAAAAAGTATGGTGAACTCAAAGACAGAAACAATATTAAATAGCTCTGGGTTATATTTCATAATATAAGAGAGAAAGTTCAAATGAAAATGAGCTAAATTTAGATGCTTAGGAAATGATTACATTATTAATATTACATTATTAATGTATTGTGGACATGGATTTATTCATGTCCTGGCTCCTCATCAGGAGTGTCTTCACAGGACATCAGTACGTGGCCAGATAGCATTATCAGGTGTGTATGGCAATTATTTACTGTACATATTGCTATTACAATGCATAAATAGGTTTTGACTTTCAAGAGATTCAACGCCATCTACTAATAAAGGAGTATTTTATAGAACCAAAACAAATTCTATATAACCTTTTATTTTAGAATATATCAATTCTATTGAAAATAATTGTTTAGCAATTATAAAGAATCTATAATTAAATACTGTAATGAGTTCTTATGTAAATCAAAGGACTATTGCTGAGTTCTGAGAAATTCTTTCTGAATTTCTAGTCATCTGTTTTCCTCACAAAAGTTTATCCATTGTTCTGAACAACTAGAGCCAAGCTTGGAGTAGGGGAACAAACCCTGGATGAAGAAACAGAAGACAAAGTTTCCATTTCCAGGTCAACCTATGACCTTGGACATTGTACTTCAGTCTCTTGGTCTTTAAAATTTAACAAGAACTGCCAGGCCAAATTCTCAAGGCCATTTTCAGGAAGCCCTTTATAATCCCACAGATCTGATCATATGACTCTTCCATTTAAAAAAAAAAATCACATTTTTTTCTGCTTCCTTCTGTTGAATCTCTTCATTGATTCGCATATGTTGAAACACCCTTGCCTCCCTGGGACGAATTCCACTTGGTCATGATAAGTCATCTTTTTAACGTGCTATTAGATTCAGTTTGCTATTATTTTGTTTTTGCTTTTGTTTTTTTTTTTTTTTGTTGTTGTTGTTGTTCTTCTTCTTCTTCTTCTTCTTCTTCTTCTAATTAGTTATACATTATAGTCGAAAGCATTTTGACACATCATACTAAATTGAGTATAACTTCTCACTCTTCTAGTTGTATGTGATGTAGAATTACACCGGTCCAGTAGTCATATATATATACATATGGTAATAATATCCCATTCATTCTACTAACTTTCCTACACTCAAACCTCCTCCCCTCCCTTTACTCTCCTCTGTCTAATCCAAAGTTCCTCTATTCTTCCCTAGCTCCCACCCCCTTATTGTGAATTAGCATCCACATATCAGAGAAAACATTTGGTCTTTGGTTTTGGGGGGGTTGGCTTATTTCGCTTAGCATGATATTCTCCAGCTCCATGCATTTACAGGCAAATGCCATAATTTCAATCTTCTTTAAGGCTGAGTAGTATTCCATTGTGTATATATAACACACTTTCCTTAGCCATTCATCTGCTAAAGGGCACCTAAGTTGGTTCCATAATTTATCTATTGTAAATTGAGCTGCTATAAACACTGATATGGCTGTATCACTATAGTATGCTGATTTTAAGTCCTTTGAGTATAAACTGAAGAGTGGGATAGCTGGGTCAAATAATGGTTCCATTCCAAGTTTTCTGAGGAATCTCCACACTGTTTTCCATAATGGTTGCACCAATTTGCAGTCCCACCAGCAATGTATCTGTGTACTTTTTTCCCCTACATCCTTGCCAACTTTTAATGTTGCTTGTATTCTTAATAATTGCCATTCTGACTCGAATGAGATGAAATCTTAGTTTTGATTTGCACTTCTCTAATTGCTAGAGATGTTGAACATTTTTTCCTATATTTGTCTCAAAAATGAATCAAATAATATAATTAACATCAGGTTTAATTAAAAAATCTTCTGGTAAAATATTTGGTGGCACAGATTATGAGACCCATGTTTTCTGTGGATAGGAATCAGAGCACGTCACTTCATGGAGAAAGTGGCTGAGAATAACTCACCTGAAGTAACCAATGATGAGGATGGCCACAGCCAAGGAACCCAAGGAAATGGAGTAGCCCACAGTGTACAAGATGTGGAGGCTTTTGAAGAACTCCTGCTGCAGGGGAGGAGATAGTCACATGTGTAATAGGGCCATTTTACCAAAACACTGGTAAGAACAATATGTCATTTGGGGGATGTTATTTCTAATTCTCTTTAGTTTTTCTGAGCTGTAATTCACACACAATAAAATATACAGATCTTCAATGAGCAGTTTGATGGGTTTTGATAAACCCAGTTCATTTATGCCTCTTGCTAGTAGAAACCTGCCCCCTAACACCCCACACACACACCCCGTAACCACTACTCTAATTCTGTCACCATGAATGAGCTTTCTCTGTTCACATGCTTCATATACTTCTGGACTGTTCTTAAACTTCTTAGAATTATATAGTATATATTCTTTGTGTTGATGTGCTGCTTTTGATAACCACCAATAATGTTATGTGTGTTAGTACTTCATTCCTTTTTAATTTTCTTTAATTTTAAAGAAATGATAGATGCACAAGAAGTGAAAAATATACTAAGGAAGGTCCTGCAATGGTTTAGATCATTCATAATTATAGTAAATATCAGAACAAGGAATATGAGAGTGGTCCAACATGCTTATTTGTAGCTCTCTGTCATTTGATCACATATGTATATGTATGCAATCATCATTGGAATTAAATTGTAGAAATACTCCATCAGCTCAAAGTTATACCTTGCGATAGCCCTACACATCATATCTACCATTCTTCTCCCACCGTTCCAAACACCTGACAATGATTGATTTGTTTTCCATCTTCATAGTTTTGTCATTTTGTAGTGTTATAAAAGTAGAATCATATGAGACCTTTTGAAATTGCCCATAATGTCCTTGAGTTCCATCCAAGTTGTTGTCCCTATCAAATAGTTTGCTCTTTTTTATTGTTGAATAGAATTCCACTGTATGTATATAATCATTACATTTTAATGAGTTTCTTGTAGATGGTATGTAGTTTAGTCATGTTTTAATTAGTGTATTTATACCATATATTTTTAATATAATACTGATATGTTAAGGCTAAGTGCATCCTTTTATTTTTTTATTTTATGTTGTACTATTTCTCATTTCTGTTTTATTTTTCTTGCAATCCTGTGTGTTGCTTGAATAGTTTTTAGAATTCCATTTGGTGTTTCTTTTGGTAGAGTTTTAAGCGGTCACTCTAGGAATTACTTTTTTAAAATATGTTTTTAGTTGTAGATGGGTACAATGTCTTTATTTGTATTTATTTACTTTTATATGGTGCTGAGGATCGAACCCAGGGCCTCATGTGTGCAAAGCAAGCATTCTACCACTGAGCTACAACTCCAGCCCTCTAGGAATTACTTTATATAGTTTAATGTGAAATATTTGATCATTAAATCTTTACCTTTCTTCTTTTCTAATTAAGTTCTCAAAATTATACATTTACTTCTAAGCTCTGCTTATGGTATTTTCCACACTTTTTTATATTTTGGGCTTTGGTTGATTCAGTTTGAACTTGTACCCTGAGTCATATAATTTCCAACTACTTATAAATTATATAAATACTATAATTGATTTTTAATTAACACTTTTATAGTCAGAAATCATGCTCTGATTTCAATGTTGAAATTCGCTGAAACTTACTCTGTAAACCAATAAATATTTGTGAAACTTTGGTGTGTACTTTAAAAGAATGTGAATCTTGTAGTTATTGGGTATAGTGTTCTATAAATGTCCATTTAATCATTGTTTGAAAGATATGGAAATTTTTGTCTAATGGTTCTATGAGAATGATGAGTTCGAATGACTCCTACATGCTGAGATTTAACTATCTCTCCTCTTAATTCGGACTAGGTTTCCTTCCTGACAACACTGAGGTTGTTTCCATATCTTGGCAACCGTAATTACACTGCAATGATCACGGGAGTGCGAATGTCTTCAACATATGATTTCTTTTCTTTTGACAAATTTCCAGCAGTGGGATTGCTGGATTGCTGGATAATATGATAATTATTAATGTTTTGAGGACTCTCCACCCTGTTTTCCGTAATGGTTATACTCATTTACCTTCCCTTTCTCTATAGCCTCTCCATCACTTGATATCTTTTGTCTTTTTGATAAAGCCATTCTGGCAAGTGTAAAGTGATATCTCTCATTGTGGCTTTAATTTACATTTTTCTGATGATTAGTGATGCTGAGCATTTTTTTTTCATATCCACTGACCATTTGTATGTCCTCTTTTGAGAAATGTCTGTTCATATCCTTTGTCAGTTTTATAAATGGGTTGTTTTATTGCTCTTGAGTTTTCTGGATTCCTTAAATATTTTGGAGATTAGCCCCTTATCAGCTTATGCTTTGTGAGTATTTTCTCCCAGTCTATAGGTTTTCTCTTCATTCTGTTGATTGCTTTTCTGGTTGTCTTGAAGCTCTTTATTTAAGGAAAATCCATTTGTCTATTTGTTTTTATTTTCTGAGTTTGGGGGACCATATCCAAAAAACTCATTGCCCAGACTAATTTCATCAAGAGTTCCTCCTATATTTTCCTCTTGTTGTTTTACAATGTCAAGTCTTACATTTATCCACTCCAAGTTGAGTTTTGTACATAAGGGCCTAATTTCATTCTTCTACCTATAAATATCCAGTTTTCCTAGTACTCTTTACTGAAAACACTACCCTTTCTTCACTGTGTGTTCTTGGCATCTTTGTTGAAAATCAGTTGGCCATTAATGTATGGATTTATTTCTGGGCTCTCTATACTGTTTATTGGTTTATGTGTACATTTTTATGCTAGCACCATGCTGTTTTGAATATTACAGCTTTGTAGCACATTCTGAAACCAGATAATATGAACACTCCAGCTTTGTTGCTTTTTGCTCAAGATAGCTTTGGCTATTCAGGGTCTTTCATGGTTCAATATATATTTCAAAATTATTTTTCTATTTTTGGTAAAAAAAATCAGAATTTTGATAAGGGCTTCATTGAATCTGTAAATCATTTTAGGTAGTATAGACATTTTAACAATATTAATTCTCCCAATCTGCAAACACAGAAAAGATATTTCCACTTATTTGTTTCTTCAGTTTCTTTCATCATTGTTTTATAGTTTTCAGTATCCAGGTCTTTCACTTGCTTTGTTAAATAATAATTTTTTTTATTTATTTAAGAATTTTATTTAACTATTATAAACAGTATTTTTTCTTGATTTATTTTTTTCTTGATAGTTTATTGTCAGTTTATGAAAACACAACTGATTTTTTATAGCGATTTCGTTCCTGCAACTTTAATGAATTCATTGATTAGTTCTAATAGATTTTTGGTGGCGTCTTTAGGGTTTCCTATATATAAGATCATCTCATCTGCAAACAGGCAACTTTGCTTCTTCCTTTTCAATTTGGAGACCTAACTTTTCTGGTTAGGACCATGTTAAACAGAAGTGGCTTCAGTGAACAGGCCAGCTGGTTTTCTGAGTCCAGGAGATTTTGTTCCAGCTGCTGCCCTACCAGTCTTCAGCCAACACTGTCTTGCCTGAGATGAAGGCCCTATGTGCCTAGCAGGTCTTCCTCAGCTTCCTTTGTCAGACTACTGCCTTGTAGACCTGCACATCTGGGGGGATAAAAGTGGGGGTTCTCTTGCTCTGTGTTAGAGTCTGTAAACAAGTCAAAATAACACCTGGCATTTTGCCAGGGGAATGTTAGAGTTCCTAAACAAGTCTGGATGGTGCCTGGCAAAATGCTAGAGGGAGTGGTTTGAGAAGTAACAAAAGCTAGCCATTAAGTGTGGAGATTCCTTATTGGTTGACTGATGTATCTAGTTTATGGTAATTAGATAAGCTGTGTGGAATGTATAAATACTGCTCCTGTCCTGCAATAAACGGCTCCCACTCCTGCTGTATCAATGTACACAAGTTGTTCGTCACCCCGGGTTATTTTGCCCAGCCAGCCGGGCTCCGGCAGCTCTGGCCCTTGGGCTACAGCAGTCCTGCACTCAGTGAGGGCTCCATGCACCTCAAGGGATGTCTCCCAGCTCCTCTGTTCTGTGCCACGCCCTCAGCTTAGGCTCTCTTTCACTGTGTGAAGGTCCTGGGCACATCCTGAGAGATTTATCTTACTCTGCTGTATTGCCCCAGCCTTTGGCATAGTGCCATTCTGTGAAGGCTCCATGGGACTTCACTGTGACTAGAGCTTGCTGCTTTGAATTCTATGCCCTTATGCTAGCCCTTGTCTGTTAGAATGTGATTAAAAAGCTTTCCTCCTTTCTTTTCTTCTCAATCTATGGTTACTCTTCTTTTGCTATGGACCCAGCCTTTAGATTTTTTGAAATCCTCATTTTACTGGTGAATTTTTACAGATTATTAATTTTGCATCTCATACAACTTAATCTTATCATTATACCTGCCTATATTCTGGCTGGAAGCAAAGGACTTTACCTCTTATTCCTTTTCTTTTAAATATTATTCATTGCATATTATTTTTATTAATAAAACATTAACATGTTTATAGAAAATACTGGATAATATGTAAAATATATAATGAAGACAAAAAGGCCTTCCAAGTTTTCACCAAACAAAAGAAACACTGCTAGCACCTTAGGTATTTTTGTTTTTCTTTTTCTATATACCCTATCCTATCTTTTTAAGGATCTGAATCCTAAACTTATACTCAAGTTTTTTCCAAATAATTACATGACAAAAGAATTTTCCAATGCCACAAACTCTTTATAAAAATACATATTTGGGCATACTTAACCAGTTCCTCTCTTGAAATTTAAATTCTTCAAAATATTCACTGTAATGACTTATTATTCAATGAACATTTTTTTCATTCAGTTTCTCCACCCCAAATCTTTATACTTAACCATAGAAGTGAAATTATAAAATCAAAGGTTACGACCTCTTTGAGGTTTTTAAATATGTATTGCTAAATTGCATTCAAAAGTACCTATAGCCTTTAGACATAAGATATATTATATGATAATTTCTACAGTATGCCGTTGTTTCAAATATCATACTCTAAAGAATTTAGTAACCTGTGGCCTATCATTAGAGTTCCTTCTCTTCTTTTATTAAAAATAATTACCTCATTTGGCCAACCAATGATATGGAAATTATTTAGAATTTTAAAAAATTCATGCTAAAAATAGCTTAGTATTTTCCCAATAGTGATGTGGCACTTATTCTTCCATCAAATTATGGGTCATTTATTCTCAATACATACTTTTTCAGTTTTATACATTTCCTTGCTTACAAAAATTTTTATATTAACCATTAATAATTTATATCTCATAAATACGGAACATCATTTTGCCTGACAGAGCATTAAAACTTCGGGAGCCATCTAGTTTTCTTATTAGAGAATATTTGGTGTGGCTTTCTTCTTTTTATGAGTCTTCTTAAATTATACATTAAGGTTGGTAAACAATTGAAAATATGGTTTTCATTAAGGAGATAAAATTAATTTATGTGAACAAAATTCTTAAAGTTTTAGTTAGCCTTTAAGTCATTTTTATAGAAACAGTATATATCTTAGGTTTATTAACCATTTTTTATTATTTTGATACTTAGAATATGCATTAATCACAAAGAAATGGTTGTAAGATTCGAGTTCTGGCTGGGCGGTTGGTGAACACCTGTTATCCTAGCAACTCAAGAGGCTGAGGCAGGAGGATCACAAGTTGAGGCCAGTATCAGCCACTTAGCAAGATCCTGTTTCAAAATAAATAATTTTTTAAAAAAAGGACGGGGGATGTAGCTCAGTGGTAAAGTGCCCCTGGGTTCAATCTCAGTTCTAAACAAATAAATAAATAAGATTCGAATTCTGTGTGAATAAAACCATGATTTAATTTAACAGCCAATTGAAAGCTGTCAAAGAACTACCTTTGTCATCATTCAACACACAACTAAAGATCATCACCGAGTACACTAAATACCCGGAAGTGCTTGTTTTCGTCAGTGAGACTCCAATCATTCTGAAGTATTTATATTAACTCAAAGTTAGCCTGAGTTGTATCATGGAATCTATAAGAATCTCCTCATATTGACTATTTTTATATAAAAAATTTCAAACCTTGAAGTACAAAACTGAAGGTCTTTAAACAAGCTATCAAAGAACTCATTAAGGTATTAGTACTTGATGACAGAAAAGAAAGTTAAGAAAGAAAATTCAGCCTATTTGCAAGACTGAACAAAGAAACCTTCAACTCATCACTTCTCTCTACTGTTCTCTCTCCACTCCCTCCAAAAATCAATAGGCACTAAAAAAAAAAAAAAAAAAAAGTAAAATGTGAGGGAGTTTATGTACAATGGACTGTTCTTAGGGCCCACTTAAAAATTACTTATCCATCAGTTTATCATATTCATTCCTAGCATCACAAGCATTCTCATCCCATATCTCTACTCACAGGTCAAAGGGATAGGAATTTGAGGATGACTTTTAAATTCTCTAACATAACTTAAAAGTAACTCTAGAAGTTTTTGAAGTTCACATATGATTGCTATACTGCACACAATGCTGATGTGAAGTTAGGACACCAGGGCTCTGCTCTAGACCCTTCCACCAGCAAGCTTTAACCAATACTGAATCTCTGGATCTCAGTAGACTCACATCTGTGAAATAAAGGTATTGTGCTGCAAAACTCAGATGATGCTCTTGTTCCTCTTGAATTCTACTGCTCTAACCTTTCATCTACTAATGAAATCACCTTCAGGCAAATCTTATGAGACGGAAAATACCTCTCTAAAATGCAAAGATCCTTCAGGATATAGAGAGTGGAATGAGATGTAGTCATCCATAAGTAACTAAGAATAAATCATGAATCATGCTGCTGGCTACCTATGTAGACTTTTATATACAACATAATATTGTATATATAATATTAAGATAAAATAATGTGACAAAAAATATACACACAGTTATTTATAAGTATATACGTATATATCTCAGGTAGGAACCTCTAGCTTAAGGAAAATACCACAATGGTTCAGATGCATCTAAAAGGATTCCAATATTGCTTTTACCTTTTATGATATGTGTGTCATAGAATTAAATGGTTTTATATGTAATGGTTGACAATCAAGAATTACATAAAAGCATTATTCTGCTTTTTCTTAGGGATTCACAAATTCAAAAATATGATTACCTTTCCTATGCTGACATCTGGTTGCAGAAAGCAATCTGAATAATTAGCCCATGTTTTATTTGAGCTGTGAATAAAATCCCATGTTCCGTTGGGAGTGCAGTGTCGGAAGGCGGTTCCTGTAAAGACATGGAGGGTACTGAGATGCTCAGTTTCAGTTCCCATAGAGTCTGTTACCAAAAGGAGGCAGAGGAGGAGAAAGATAATTTCTTTTCAAATTAATAGTTTCAGAAAAACTCAATACCTTTATGATTGAAGTCATAAATATAAGGAGGGCATGGGACAGCTGATATTTTCCCCACTGTTCCTCTGGGCCAACAAATGAGTCCATCCCATTCTGGGAAACAATTACCTTCTGATGAGAAAAAAAATAGAAAGCAGATAAATAAAAATTAGAGAACAAATGCATTCAAAATTCAAAATTTCAGATAATTGCCTGTGGCAAAAAGTAAAACAAACTGGTAACTAACATGTAAATGTCCCAAAATTCACCTACCTTGTCTCTTCATAGACCCATTAATAGGAAACTTTGATTAGCAAAATTAAAATATTCAGACTATTCCAGTATATCCACTATAGTAGTTATAGCAATTGGTATATAGAAAACACTGGAAACCACTGTGAACAACTATAGTATAGTTCTTCCACCTGTCATACATAGCAGCTACATTTTTACTCTAGATTTTTTTTAAATGCTGTTAAAGAACATGACACACAAAACAAATTTAAGATTCAGGTTTATCTTTTTACCTATAATTTCTTTGAGTCTAATATTCATCTCAAACAAAATTCTCATAAGTTCTGTGCTTCTCAAGATGAATCCAGAGCCTTGTCTTTCTTATAACCTCCACTGCCACCATGACAGTCCACAGCCACCATATGTCCAGCCAGAATTACAGAGATAGTCTTCAGCAGGTCTCCCTGATATTCATATTCTCTCTCTCTCTCTCTCTCTCTCTCTCTCTCTCTCTCTCTCTCTCTCTCTCCAGGAGTCTTTTAGGTAGACTGGAGCCATCCAGTCCTCCCCCACCCCCCTTTTGCTTGCAGTTCTCAAGATTAACTATGTAGAATGTGCTAGGGAGACTGGCTAGAACAGACCAGTCTCCCACCCCCCAAAAAAAAAAGATGTCTTCCAACATGTGAGCCTAATAGCATCAGATGTTCGCTGGGGTATACAACCTACTGTGGATGGTTTTCTTGAGCGACTCAGCTGCAGTGCAAGTGGGATAAGAGCAATGGAGATTCCATACACCCAGGATAACTTTCCCGAGCCTGGGGAACTGGCTCAGAATAAATCCTAGGCTGCTGTTAATCTTTGCAGCCTGTCTGTAAGCAATGAACCCACTTCCTGAAACTTGTTGTACATACATATGAGTGCTCCATCTTACCCAACTCAAAAAAGTTGGTAACCAATGACACACACTCATTTAACACAACAGCCCCAAGTCTTCCAAAAACTCCCCATCTCACTCAGAGGCAAAACCTAGGTCTAAGCAATGTGTGAAGGGCCTGCAGACCTACTCTCTGCCCTCACCTCTCACTGACCTTAGCTCCTGCCTCAGCTCTCACATCCACAATGCCACTTGCTCTTCCTGGGTTCCAGGGCCATTTCCCCACGTTGCCCCCAGACTCATTTCCTTACCTCCTCCGGATTTTTGCTCAAAGGTCAACTTCTTAGTAAATTCTCCAACTTAAAACTGCATTCCAAAATACTCCCTATCCCCTTTTCTCCTTTCCCTGACACCTGAGTTCTCACTGCCTTCCGTATCATTCTCTTAATTATTGCTTTCTAAAGTCATAGGATTTAAAAAAATGTGAGAGTGGAGATTTTTGACTGTTTTGTCTCCTATGTTAACTACCTTCCTGGAATAGCCTCTGGCACTTGGTGGGGCCTAAGGAACATTCAGTGTCAATATTCTGTGTTCTGCTGGGCTTCTTTCTACTAGTTATATATTGAACATCCAAGAATAGAGCCTGCCAGTCATGTCAGATCCCAACAAGGCAAAAAGACATACTTTCAATAAGTGCCAGATTAATTTTCTACCACAAATTTAGCAGCTTAAAATCAAATTTATTTTCTCACTATAGTTTTGTAGGTCAAAAGTCTGACAGGCTCAGAGGGACCTCTGCTGATAGATTCCCAAGACCAAAATCAAGGGCTGAGCAGGGCTACATTACTCTCCAGAGGCTCTTGAGGGAAATCCATCTCCTTGTTCATGTCAGCTGTTGGTAGAATTCAGTTCCTTGAAGTTGCAGAACTGAGGTTAATTGTTCGCTGCCATCGAAGATTCATGCCAAGTTCTAGAAGCTGTCAGCATCCTTTATCTCATGGTCTCCTTCCTCCATCTTCAAAATCAGCAAGACAGACTAAGTTCTTCTCACATTTTGGATCTCTCCTCTGCTCTCCTTTTCTGCCACAATTCAAACTCATTCTTTTGCCTTAGCTTCCTCTTTTAAGGGCACAGGTGATTGATTACATTGGGCCCATCCAGATAATCCAGAATCATCTCCCCACTTTAAGATCCATAACCTTCCAGTTGGTCATGTGTGTAGCACGCACAGCTTAATAGCAGGTACTAGGGGATGGGTGTCTTCAGGGTTCATTATTCTGCTACCAGAAATGCTATACATTCTAATTCTCCCAGATGGGTTGTAACCACAGTGTTGTTACACTAACTGCCGTTGAAGATTTCTGTTCTAGCCAGTGTCATGGTATCACACTATTTGTTGGGTTTTGAGTCGTCAGCCTAACACAATCTCACACAAACACCCATTTCTGTAAAAAAAAAAAAAAAATAAGAAAAACCTGAAATTAACTTCTTAGCATCCACCTATCACACAGAAACAAATATCAATTTGCTCTGTGCACTGCTGAAGAGAAAAGAAAAACGTCTTCCTCACCCACACTGTTGTTAGAAAAGAACGTTTTCTTGGAAACAGCCTCACTTTGTTCACACAATGAAAACCTGGGCTTCACATATCACAGGCAACCCAGGAGCTCATCCCACGGCCTCCTGCTTCAGGAGCACAGCACCACCTGCCTCTCTTTGCAGCACTATCAGGTCTTTTTGTTGGTTGATTTTCCTTCTTGCTGATACAGGGTAGAATGAATCAATCTTACCCATCAACTTTGCCCAAGATTGTCTTCTATATCTGGACAGAATTCCATGCACCTTGCCATCCATTTACTTTGTCATTTATGTATCTCTTCTATCAACTGCTTATTAACTATTATTAGTTTGGAACTTAATGCCCTCCACCCAAGGCTCATGGATTAAAGCTTTAGTCACCAACTTGGCATTATTGGAAAATGGGAGAAACGTTAAGAGGCAGGGCCTAGTGGGAGGTCTTCGGGTCATTGGGAATGTGCCCTTGAAGGAGAGTGGGATCTCCATCCTGTCCTCTTTCTTCCTTTCATGTCCAGCCATGAGTTGAATAGCTTTGCTCCACCACATACTTTTGTCATGATGAGCTGCCATGAATCCAAAGCAACAGGCCCAATCAGTCATAAATTAAAATCTCCAAAACTGTGAGCCAAAATAAACCTTGTCTCTTTCTAAGGTGATATATCTCAGGTATTTGTTATAGAAATGGAAAATTTACGACTGTGCAATAGATTGTACCCAATATCTACTATACAAACTGCATAAACTGGAGCTTGACATGTGTTCTTACCTTTCTATAACTAACTGTCCCTCTAAAATGCATACTGTGATGTCATGTACTATTTTCTGCCAAGAGTTAGTCCCATGATAGAATACGGTCTTCATATAAAAGTAAAATCTAGTGACCAGTTTATTCTATAAATACTTGCTTTTAAAACAGCTATGGAAAAATATTTTTCCTCATGCTCTTTAAGGGAGATTTTTCTAGTGCCCTGTGAGACACCAGCCCACCCACACATGTACTCAAATACACCCTCCAAAATTCAGAAAACCAACCTCCCCCAGAATAATGGATGTTCAGATCAGGTTAATTTTTTGTGGTTCTTTGACAACAAGAATGATAAATAGTCACAAAAGGATGAAAAGATTGAGAAAGCCATGACCTAGCTAGAAAATACAGAGATGGTAATTAGCATCTTCTCCTTGATCATCACGTGAGTAAATAACTTTCATTATTTGGCAAGAAACTAATTAATTGCCTAATGAGTCACCAATCTTTCTTTATAAATTAACACCATTAATTATAGCTCTATAATCCTTTGTGTGTGCCAGGAAAAACTAATTATTAGTGAAGCTTGTTCAACCGTGATATTTACACAGAACAGCCTAAAATTTGGAGACTCTAGCTTTTTCTCTTTTTAGTTCTTCAGTTACTCATAACAAAATACAACCACTCTTGGAAGAAGAACCAGGATGAATAATATTTCACTTTTTATTTTTAAATATGTGAATAGTTTTATAATGAGGTATTCATGTTTACATTGCCATTTCTGTCTTTCATAAACTTTAGGAAAATTTTATGATCAGTTTATTACAAAAAAATTTCAGAAATATAACAGAAAATACATACCCTTAATTTAGAATTGACAGTTTTAATAGTTTCTGATATTTATTTCATCTAATTTATTTTTGGTATAATTTTAAAATAAATTATAGGCACAACAAGAGCTTATTCTTAAATATTTTGATGTGCAATGCTCAATTTTAAGAGCATTTTAAAATGAAAATTTCCTAAATTAATCAGTGAACTCAAAATGCCACTCTAAGTTTTAAGACTTCAAGTAAAGAGATGATTACTCTTCCAATAAATCTTTGCTAATCCCTCCCAGATTACATGTTTTGTAGTACATAGTTGTGAATACCCTTGTTGTTAAAATTACACACCAGCCTAAAACATGTCTATCATCCCTGTGCAGCCATCAAGCCCATGGGGCGAGGACAGAATCTTATTCAGGCTTTTCAGTGCTTACTACAGAAGCAACACACTGTGGGTACATGTGTGTTGACTATTAAAGGAACATCAAAGATACTGTTGGCCCAGGTAATTGGCAGGTATTCTCCAGCTCAAAAGTTCATGAGGCTTCATGGGAAATAATTATCTATAAGGGCTGAAAAAACTATCAAATTCCTTCATGATGAAGCTGATCCTTGTCAGTAGATTTACATGTCTAGGATGAGTGTCAGTGTTATTTAAAGGTAAAATGAGTGATTTCCTGTTTGGACACTATTAGACAGGTTATTCAGAAAACTCCCTCCTTGCACAAGATACCTACAAAGGATGGATGAATAGAAAAGTCTTCTGTGAAAACATGATTTAGCAGGTTGTAAAGTAAAGGAATAAATCTAAAGCCAGAAATTATTCTATGGGGGCAACAAGTACTACAATTAGAGCTTACCTTACAGATCACTA